CCACCATGCCAAGGATGCATAGGTGACTATCGGCTTCACAACTGTGTTGAATGACCAGTAAGTCATTTTGGGGGAGAGTCCCCATGTCTTCCCGTAAAGTCGCTTGCATGCGAAGAAGGCTCTCATTGCCTTGTTTACGGTTGCATCCAAATGTACATTCCAGGTGAGTGTCTTATCTAGCCACACCCCCAGGTATTTTGCTTCATTTGAGAGCCCTATTCTAGTGCCGCCCAGAGTCAATTCTGTCATTGGTGTCACACCATCTTTGCGTAATGCGCAGGGCTTGTTGCATGCGGTTGGAGATCGTTTCGTCATGCAGCCCTGTTACACAAATTACCAGATCGTCTGCATATCCTTGTGTTTCAAAGCCATGGTCGTTCAGTAGGAACAGGAGTTCGTCTATAACCATAGTCCACAGAAGAGGAGAGAGTACACCCCCTTGAGGGCAACCTCTTGTGGCTGTAATCGATTCTTTCGTGCCTCCCAGCTCCATCCTGATCTTCCTTGTTTTTAGCATAGAAAGCACCCAATTTATTATGATGGGGCTCACTCCCTTGCATATCAGGGCATCTCTTATTGCCCTGTATGACGTGTTGTCAAAAGCCTCTGAAATGTCAATGAAGGCACAAAGGGCTATGTTCTTAGACTCCAGAGCCTTTTCGATTTTCGATGTAAGGCTGTGAATGGCAGTCTCAGTGGACTTGCCTGGTTGATAGGCAAATTGGTTCTTATTCAGTGGTCGTTCCGCTAGGTTGACTTCTCTGATATGTTGATCCAAGATTTTCTCCATGCCTTTTAGGAGAAAGGAGCTGAGGCTAATTGGTCTGTAGGATGAAGGCATTTGCTCCGGTTTACCTGCCTTCGGTAAAAATACCACCTTAGCCTCAGTCCATCTACTGGGAATGTGACCCAGTAGGAGCGACGCTCTGTATAGTCTGGAGAGTACTGGGGCTATGTAGTTACTACCTTGTTGGAGTTGACAAGGATAGACCCCATCTGGTCCTGGTGATTTGTATGGGCTGAAGGTAGATACCGCCCATTGCACTCTTTCTACCGTGGTAAGTTTAGTTGCAAGGCTTTGCTCTCTACCAGAAGTGCGTGCTGGGACACCCAATTCCGGTAGATAATAGCCCGCTTTGCAGCCCGGGAAGTGAGTGTCTAGCAGAAGTCTGCAAGTCTCTCCCGGATGCTGAGTATAACTACCATCTGGTTTCTGTAGAGTGCCGATCGTATTTTTGTGTTCCCTATTTAGAGCTTTTTGGAGGCGTACAGCCTCTGGGAGGCTCTTTATTTCCTCGCAGTGGTTTCGCCAGCTAGCTCTTTTGGATTTCCGCAATTCTTTGTTGTAAGAAGTTAGTGCAAGTTTGTACGGATTCCAATCACCCGTATTCTTTGCTCTATTGAATAGTTTTCTGGCTTGGCATCTCATTTGCTCAAGCTTCTTGCTCCACCAAGGCACATCACGTTTGGATTTTACCTTTCCTTGGGGACAGCTACTATTGAAAGCTATTCCAATGTCTGAATGAAGCTGTTCAGCTTCAGTTTCAAGCTCGTGCGCAGTCGTAATTTGACCACCATGGCTGTTTCCACCTTCTTCCATGATAAAGCGAAAGAATTCCCAGTTCGTTTTTCTGGGATTTCTAAAAACTAGTTCATGCTCAGGAAAGTGGCCAATGTCGAATTCTATGTGCATATGGTCCGACATTGATACCTCCCCTGAGACGCGCCAGTTTGTGACAGACGCTGCCATGTTCTGACTACTTAGAGTAAGATCTAAGACTTCCCCTCTAATAGCGTTCCTGAACGTTGGTTCATTGCCATGGTTTATAATACTTATATTATAACTACTTATAAACTCAAGGAGGTACTCACCCCTTTTGTTGGTGTCGGTGCTCCCCCAGACAGTGCTATGGGCATTTGCATCACAGCAGAGGATCCAGGGTATACCACTCTGCCGGCAGTGATCCGTAAGCGCCTTTACCTCAGGTGTCGGGGCTATCTCCTCCTCACCCGGGAAGTACGCGGAGGCAAGTACTGCCTCTTGCACCCCCCTAGGAGTAGGAATTTTGGCCCATACCGCAACGAGATCTGCCGTAATGAACTGTGAAAGAGGGAGAAACGTTAGTTTGTTACATAATAGCATCGCCGCTCTTGGGCGACAGCTGGCGGCATAGATGATCTTACCGTCCTTTATATTAAGGCCTTTGACGTCACCTCTTAATATCCAGGGTTCCTGGATGAAGGCTACACCTAAGCCTTCGTTTGTGAACCTCCTATGTAAAACATCTGATGCTGCTTTCGCGTGGTGAAGGTTCACTTGGAGGCATTTAATGTGCCTCAGATTTGTGGAGTTTTTGGGGTGAGGTGCCA